TACTAGGATGTAAAACGGGATGTGTACCTTGCCCCCGGCGTGTCGATTGTTGCTAGTCCCAGCTCTTGAACCTAAAAATAAAATAAATTCTTACAGTTAATAGTCTCACACAATATTCGGGTATTCTTGAGCTTAGTTTCGAGATTTCATAGTCTATTGTCGTAACATTGCCAACGGTACATGGCCAGTAAGTAGTCACCTTTCCCCTTTCTTTAACATTGTAGGCGTACCCGAGGCTATCAACTAATTTTTCTCGCCGTCTCTTGGTTCCATCTGCTACAATTTCGTAAGTTACGTGAACAGGACCCTCAACCATTGGAGACAGAACACTGGGGTCTTGAAGAGACGACTCTTCGACTGGATCAGGCAGCGGGACGTGAGAATTGTGTAGCGGGAAAAGACGAAGGCAACAAAACGTTGTTTAATTGTAATGTAACTGAAACAAAGGCAAACTGTAAACTCTCTGACTAAAAGTAATAGTTTTTACGAAAACCTAATGATCAAGTCTCTTGAACTAAACTTAAAGTAAACTCAACAGTAGAATTATTTAAAAATGGCGAACCGTTATTATACACAAGAGAAAGAACGCATTTAAACAGCAAAATTTCATTTGAAAAAGTCGGTAACTTAAACTGCTCTAAATAAGTAGCGATAAAAGTGTAATCAGACAAAACCATAAAAAAAATTAACCTGAAGTCGTTCCATTTTCGGAGGCGTCTTCTGGCGTTTGGTCAGCAATATGTGGGTCCACGTCCATTACAAATTCTTCCATAGGCTCACCTTAGATAGAAGAACAATAAGATAAAATGAGAACAAAACCGAAAAAGGACACCCCCCGAGAACCAAAACAAACAAACAGAAGCAATACACTAAAGACTTTGCACTGAGGTGAAATCATATCAACTTCTCATTCGACATTAATTTTACTCGAAAACCCATATGTTTGAAAGAAAAAACTGCTACAACACAAAACCAAAACAAACTCACCTAAAGTCGTTCCATTCTCCGAGAATAGTACACTTCCACTGGCGGTAGGTACTTCAAACAGGATGCTGCTTGGGGGGTGAGAGAACATAATGACCTCCGCCACAGTTCCGAGTGACGTACTGGAATCTGTTGATCAAAATATACATCTCGTAAACACACTGCTAAATTGCATAACTTTTTAACATAACGTTTATGACAATGACAACTTCAGAATGAGTAAATCTTTGGGTTTACAACGAAAGCGAAAACAACACTTGCTGCTTATCGAGAGACAATACTTTAAACAACAAGCATTCCAACAATAAAAGAGAGCGTTGCACTTGACTTTAACCGACTTACTGTGAACTCTATTTGAAGGACTCAAAGAGAGGTAACTTACAGATATGTTCTTAACTGTATTAA